CCCTTCCTCCTACTGGTCGGCAGCGACACTAAATGTAGTGAATGACAACACAGATGAGGACAACCAACTAAACATTTTGCACAAATTACAACGTTACTTGGTAAAATGCAAAAACCATACTATGATACTCTATTTGCAAAATGTTCTTCAATTGTCTCAGGCTCCATTGTTCCTGGATTTCCACACAAATTGCTTTTTATTTCTGTTCTTCTCTTCTTGATCTTCTCAATCTTCTGCTGTCAGATATTCTATTCCTTGCTCACCATATATACTACTTATGTCAATATAAGTAGCTCACACCACACTACTACTACTACTACTGTTGTGAACAGAACACGACTGTTAGACAATCGAATGTATTTAAGCAAACATTACGAACTATCTGAGTAAATTGTAATAACGATACAATGGACAGTTAATTTGCAAATTAACAACCAATAGTCTCCACGTTCACTGTTTGTTCTTTAATTCCATTGCTCATGCATTTTCCAAACGATTGCGTTTCATTTCAGTTCTTTTGTCATCGGTTTTCTGCCGAAATACATTCTATGCCTGACCCACACCATATACTACTTATATGGATATAAGTAGACCACAGCACACTTGTTCCCTCCATTTAAAGCATTCGTTCATGCGGTGGTTCTGCTCGCCATGCACATTCTTCTTTCACTGTAGTCTGTGCTAAACTCTTCGTGAGAATGTCGAGTCTGCGGCGCGCTGACCTCTTTAGCTCCGTTGACCTGCCGTGGCACCAACATCCGCATGCACCCGGCAGCTGGGACATTGAACATCCGTACTCCACCGGCCTGCTGAGCCATCTACATCCGATGTCCGCCTAGCAGCCTCACGTCCCACTGCTCCTCTCCGTCGACAGCACACGCTACAGCCAACGCCGCCCCATCATCATTATCATAATCGTAATCATCATTATCGTCATCATCATCTTCTTCATCATCATCATCATCATCATCATCATCATCCAAATCATCATCATCATCCAAATCATCATCATCATCATCATCATCATCATCATCATCATCCAAATCATCATCATCATCATCATCATCATCATCATCATCATCATCATCATCATCATCATCATCATCATCATCATCATCATCATCATCATCATCATCATCATCATCATCATCATCATCATCATCATCATCCAAATTATCATCCGAATCATCATAATCATCATCTTCGTCATCCAAATCATCATCATCATCTTCTCATGTATGACGATTGCTTTACTCAGTGTTAACATCAATAATTGGGATGCAGACACACTTAGTTGACGTGTATCAACCACACTGAATGAATCACACTCTGCCTTGCTCTTTGTCTCAAGTTGTTTCATTGACTAGTTTGACGGGGCAGACAGTAGTAGTTCGATTCACATGGTGATGAGTTGTGAGTGATTTTGTGATGGATGGATGGCAGGATGGATTGATTGATTGATGTTTTGGGAGAATGACTGAGTGAGTGAGTAAATGAGTAAGCTGTTGAGTGATTGATTGAGAGTGTGAGGTGGAGATGGTTTCCATAAGGTCTTCTGACTGACTGAATGATTGACTGACTTATTGACTGATGTCTTTCGATGTTGAAATTTTCAAGATCGCTCCAACAAATACAAAGTGACATTTATTTCTCCATGTCTGTTTCCCAACAACCTGATTTTTCAGCAAGGGGATTGAATGAACTTTAATTGCTGTACAAAGTTACATTGATCAATGTTTTTCAAAGTTATTTTAACTGTCTGGAAGATTCATCTGTACAATCCTCAAGTGAACTATTCGAAAAATTCCCTTCTCCAGTATCAGTATTGATTCATGATATTTCTGAAACTCAGTGAAAGGAGATGCGCTGGAAGTACCAGTGATCTTTGTCGGGAATCCATATGTCGTTTGTACAGATGTGTGTCTTACATCTTACTTATCTAAACAAGGATGTATATTATAAATGATAAAAATGGGACATCTGTGTCAATCAGAGAAGATCAACGATTATGGGAAATAAATTTAGGGGTCTTATCAAAGATGAAGCATGTAAAAAGTGACCACATAAATAACACAAGAATAAGGAGTGCTGTAAATTGATACCAAGAAGTAATACCTAAGACGATGTGTATAACTAAATAAGATATATGGTTTGTTAGAACACCGCATCGATCGTTATACAAAACGAATCTTGAATAATACTTCAAACTACTATGTAGTGATAGTAGTGTGGTGTTTTTGTACAGAAAAAGCTCGAGAAGGGGTTTACAGAACAAGAGGCAATGAATTTGGGCTTGTAATTCAAATCAAGGAAACGGGCTAATGATAATCTTATGGAGAGTGACGACAGTCGAGCTTTTAAATGTCTCCATCATGATTTGCGGTCAATAAGTCATTCAAAGTGACGAGGAAAGTTTATTGTTTCTATGAGATAACAAATGGTAATGAATATCAATATCCGATATTGAGAAAATAAAATAGATAGGTCAATTTTGTTTTTGGCTACTCAATACCACACCTCTTTGTGAATATGATGTCCAAATTAGCTAAAATAGTTAGTAGGCGATATGGCTTATGTTTATCGAAACTTTTTGGTAAAATATTGATGAATATTTAGTGAAATTAGAGGTGGACCGAGTTCTTCCTTATGTAGTTATAGAAAGACATTTCAAGTGATCATGGTTTATTGTGTAAATTATTGACGCTTACTATTTAACATCATGAAACAGCAAAATACTGAGTAGTTGTTTTGTTCTATGAAGCAATTGCTTAGCAATACGCTTTTACAATTCAACTATAGATTGAACCTGAAAGTTTCAGCGCTAAAATCGGGATTTTAACATCTAAACTATTGAATTTGAATGAATAGTATAGCTTACAGTCTTAAATCTGAGATATCATTCATTACAATTGATGATATTTGTCATATATCAGATATGGTTGAACACTGTTTTGATCACTGCTTTTCATTAGAACTCTGAGAATAACTGCGGTACACAATGTTACTCATTATTAGGGCACATCATGATTGATATTTCCAATCGGTTTTCTTTCTTTTCAAAGGGTAATAAATTTTCTTACTCGCAAATTGTCACGGACAGGAACAGGTATATCTATTCATGAACTGATTGCTTGTATAATGATCCTTTTTTTAGGCTAAGTAATAATGTATTGTCAATCAGCATATGAATTTGATAATGTTCTTGTTAAACAATGGAATATTTTGTGAATTATCAAGAACTAATAATAACCGATCACTGGAATAGGTGTGAAAGAGAGAAAGCAAATTCTCAACCAATTATTACATTTCTATGGATGTCATTCGATTCAGTTAGTCATTGATCACTGCTTATCAGTGTGAACAGAATGTGACTGGTTATATGATGACTTTCCACAGCATCATACAATGAAGGAATCAAAATTAGATTTGTGATTGCCAGTTGAAGTAGTATCATTTATAGAATATAGAACATTTCATCTGAAGACTAAACGGGTGTCTTTTCTATGTTTTCTCCTATTGTGTTTATAAAGGTATCTATCAGTTGAATGACATTCATTTGAAAGTAATAATGAACAAAACATTCTACTTTCTTTAAATATTCTTATAAGCTTCTGCTTGAATGGAATAATGACGTAAAGCAGCCTAATATTTTGTAGACACACAGGTCATAGCATGACCAAATCTGAGTTATTCAACGTGTAGTCCATAAAGTAAATGTGATAGGAGAGCAAATTTACGTTAAATCATGGACTAAGCTTGAATTGAGACTAGTCAGTCTATCAGTTGCTATGGCATATAACCCATTTGTTGAATGCACATAGATTTGCAAATCACTTTACTCTTTCATTTCTCTCTCCTAATCCATGTCGTCAATTCCGACTTTGGCGTTTAGATCTATCAGGATGGTGAGGTCCTTTCTTGAGCACTTAGCTAGGATTGATTGTAGTTTCTAACAGAAGTGACGTTTGCTGTCATCGGTGGATTCACAACATCGGGTAACATTCATTGTGATCCCCTCCTTTATTGTTTTCAATGATGCTTTGATAATTTCGGATCCATGAGATTCCCATTCTACAAGTGCATTTTGTACTTCTCTGGACAGCATCAGAGCAACTCTCTGAGTGTGTGGACCATTTTTCCTCTTCGTGATCGGAGTACAACAGCATGTTTTCCGTATCTAGTCATTGCTCTTCAGCTTGCGTCCAACTACATTGAGTATCTGGACAGCGACAATCTCTATTTGTAATGTGCTATAACGTTAAAGCACTTCAATGTAATTGAGGTGACTAAAAATAGGTTCAGTGTCGACTTCAGACTGTGTGTGCCTCGTAAATCTGGAATTCCATGTGCAACACTGAAATCCCATATCACGTGAACTATTCTCGCATGTAGCCATAGAATCATCATTCAAACCGTAAGGCTATTGTGTGATGCTGATGAATAAAAAAACTTCTAATTAACATCATTTTCAAGAGAAAGCTTTGAAAGAAGCCCTTGACCGCATCATACAAATATCAACAATAAAATCATGGAAGGAATCATAATCCGTCTTGATGACACCTCTATAACCATAGTTTGTCGCTCACCATTTATCTAATACGTATTAATCAAGTAACGAAATATGGAAATGTTTATCGAGGTATTGGTAAATTGTTTCGAAAGATCACTCCATCAAAATGAACACTCACACCGGACTCATAGTTGACTGCAATGATCACGAAATCACTTATGCGTAAAGCCACGTAGTTACGAGTTAAATTTGTAGAACTCATGTGATATTATGCAACTTGAATTATATGAAAGCGATAACAGTGTTTAATATTTTATAAAAGGATAACATCAGTTATCATGTAAAAAATCAAAAGCATGTACAAAGTATCATGAAATAACTGTCCAAATTCGTAAGAAGACAAATGAAATTCTAAAATATTCTAATGAAAAGCAAAATTGAGACAACTTGTTCAGAGTTTTTAGAGCGATTTGTAAGACTTTTTCATGGATCATTCATCACTTCTCTTTCTTCTAAGTAACCATCTCCAAATTATACAACCGATGCATATAAGAAATAGTGAGGCGACCAAAGGAATTACAACGTACAAGTACCAATGTGACTTGTCTTGCTTATTTTCTTCCGTTGTCCTTGTAGTCATATACTGATAAAAAAGAAAGGATTATCAGTTTTCAACAAATATCAAATATTTACCGATTGTTTATCTGTTTCTTCAGTAGTTTTCATGAGGTTTTCACTAACCTGAACCTCAGTGATCCCCGATGTTGTTTCACTGTGTTCCATAGTTGTTGAACTATTCAAATCGTTGACATCCGACTTCTTCTAAATGATATAATCAGAAGCATTGATTACTAAACATCAAATATCATTCTTTTAATTCATTACAAATTTACGTTCATTACAAATCATTCCCAGTAATGATGACACAAGAGATTCTCATACATAGTTGCTGAATTCGAATTCGTCAAAACATTCAGGATATCTGTTAGCGGTTTGACAATCAGTGTACTCAGTAAACACGATCCTACACCTAGTTGACGACCCCTTTGTGTGATGGAATATATGTTCTGGATGTCACATCTAATCACAATCCGAATATAAAGCAAAAAACTTATAAGGTACAGCTTCATTGAAGCAATATATTGAGGTTACATATTTTTCTACAGAGTATCATAAATCATTGTTCCGGGATTCAACAATGGTAGTCTACATACTTTCACTAATTCTTCTAATGTGATTCACAATTTCTAACTGTTTACGCTTCTTCACTTTACCTGGTTTCATCGGTATATTGTTACCATTGACATACATCTACGTTTACATTAAAGACTTTCGAAATTACGTTTTATTCACTGAGCTGAAAACATAATTTGAAACGATGATGGTGAGCGATGCTTCGATTCATTGTTTACTGTTTTCACGAAAAGGAAGCATGTACTCATATGTCGTTAACCTATACAAAGCTTTTATTCGGTCACTGAGGATGGCTAACATTCCATTTCTTATTGATAGGAATGAAAGTATTTTTTCCAGTAAAAACATTTGCTCAGAATGTGAAATTTGAGGTTATTGCAAACGACATATGAAGTTTACCAATTACCAACCTCAACACTGCAGTCATTGACTTTCAAGCCATGAGTGTTCTGATCGTTACTTTCTATACATTTCTTCCCTTTTTTACACCAAAAACATGTCATACTCAATGTGGTTGCTCTTTGGCATGTTTCACTTGTATTGTATTGCGAACAAATTTCTATGAAAAGAGTAAGGTGAATTCATTTGAAGTTAATGAATAGAAGAACAGAGAAATAAGAAACCTGTAAATATTACTCAATGATGTGATGGTGATTTCTGAGTTAAGTGACTTATCCATTCGGTGGAAAATGGTCAACATGGTGCATCATGCAAAACTCAGTACACCTTCAATTTCACTTCTATTTCAAGACTGCATTTTTGGATTGAATGAAATTACTTTGAGTACAAAGAATAAGTGACGACTTTTTGACAAGGGGAAATTGATGACTTTTAATAACTGTTCGCATTCAGACATGTGCACACTACGTTGTCACTGAGTTCAGCAAAGCGTATTGCGATGGACTTTCATGGTTTTACACTTTCTTTCCGTGAAATCGTTTTTGTGAATAAGTGCCATAAACTCGGTTGTTCATAGACACAAAATTTAAATTGAACTATGTTGATTCAATTAAACAACAAAGGAAAAGTGACATCGTTTTTCCATTCGTCAATGACAACTTCAATGCCTCAGAAAAGTTCTACATCACATATATCAAAATAATAACAAACACTTCCTTGTCAATGTTCAATCGCTTACTAACACCTAATATTTTTCGAAACCGAACGCATTCCATTATTCATTTTGTGACTTTATGTTCAAGTTAACTTCATCAAAGTGAAAACTTCAATGTAGTTGAAAACCGGTCGTTATTCATGCTTAATATTCAACAACGAATCAACGGGTAGTTATAAATAGTAAGTGAAACGTCATTCAAGACACATGCTGGATATCATTTATTAAATGATACATGGGATTTTCAATTTTCAGCGAACAAAAATGATGTATTTAAGTGCGAAAATAGTAAGTGCTGATTAAATCAAATTTCACGTACCTCCGATGGCTTCAAACTCCACCAACGTACCACTCTTGATCCATTTTGCTGGAACAGATATCTCATGCTTTGTGTGACCTTGTGTGACAAAATGAAAGGAAAAAGAGATTTAGAATTTCGTCTTCTTTTTTGGTTCACTTAAGTAGAGGGTAAATCAAGGATCTATAGTATTTTTCATACGTACAGAGTGATGACTGTCTTAAAAAAGACTATGGTTTACATCACTCTGGTTTTTGAAACCGTCCCGTTAAATTATAAATGAAATAGTTACGTTTATGAGTTATTTAACGATGAAATCAGCTGAACGTCTGGGATAGATGCGTTCATCCACTTACATATTATTTCATAATGCATATTACACGGAGGCAACATTCAAATCTACAAATCAAGGAACAATGGTGATTTGTATATCAATCTCAGACGCGCGTTTTGTCTTATTTAGGACTTATCAGGGACTGAAAACCAGCACCATTCATTTCCATTTCCATTCGGTTATCCACTTATCCAATCAGTCCATATACTCAATGACTTGTGAAACTGTATGAAGCTTTAAATCATTTTTGAATTGTTATTGAATCTTCCGATTGATGTTGAGAAACCGTATTTGATTCTACTGCTATTCCTCATCCATCTTTACGCACAATGCTTATGACTTTAGGCAACATCCAGATAATCCTAACAGAGTGCATATATATTAATAAGAGACTGATCAGTTGCAGTACAAAACACTAATGGGAGGACTCAACCAAGCAATGAGAAATGACAAATATGTTCGCTGTTTAAGTGACTCAATGACTCAACAATGCAATTAAACCTGTCAATATGAAACATTTGATGAACCTTCTCACATTCAGTCATAAAACACCGTGTCTCACCAATTCACGTACACTCAAAACTCCTCTTCAAACTCAGCTTCATCTCTCAACAACACATGTTTATTTCAGTGAAGCAAGACGATTGAACATTTCGTAGATGAAATATCATTTCCAAACTAGCACTGCTTTATTTCTGCTTCATACAAAACACACTTCCTTTTACATTGAGTGTTGAGATGATCAAAGACTGCAAGTTTGATTGTATTACTGTGTGTGTGAATAAATGAGTGGATATATTTTGAGTTTGATATAGTCATTCATATATCCATATCTGGGTGAGTCTACCGGTAATCACAACTGTAAGAAGTTCTCAAAATGTTTGGACTGTGTGTTTACGAAAATAATTCCAATTTCATTCTGCACAATGAGCCACAACACTTAAATGACATTTCCACGAACTGACTTTACGCAAGAACAAAGTGGATAATAATCACTGTTAGAAAGCTCTCTCTGATAAGATACATGGATTTTGTTCATTAACATGCTCATGACCTGGTACAAGTTGAGAGTAATATAAAACCAACTGGTGATTGATGATGTACGTCACCGTACGTCAAAGGGTTAACGAGATTCGGCCTGTTTAAACATCTGGGCTACCTGTTCCCGTCATCTAGATATTTCAAAAAGTTATCTAAATTTGTTTGTTTTAATACATCATTATGCCTAGTAATCGCACAACCTATTCAGATGCATTTCTGAAAAGAGTAAGAGTTTGACCTGTAACAGTTGCAGAAGGCAATATGCAGCGAGAAGAATGTACATTATCCAGATGTCGATTAACTGTGCTGCAAACTTCTAAGTGGCGATCACTAAATATTTATCGTCAGGAAGGACGAAAAAGTAAGAAACAGAAACTTGCTGAAGTACATTGTGCTGAGAATTCTATATTGTACCAAAAATATTATATTGAATAAAGCTAATAATAATAATAGTAATAGTTCTCTGAAATATTTCTTACCTCCTTCACAACGTATTAATCCATTTAGTTTCGATTCCAACTTCGTTTTTGCAATTTCCGTAGGAATCTGAAAAAAGATTGTTGAATGTCTGAGACAAGATCTGCTACCACACAATCATTTATATGAAATCGAATAATTACTGGAGAAATGTATCATTTAGATCATCTCATTAAAAGCCAACTAATCGCACTCACACTAGGCATACTGATATTCTCAGTTTACTTTCCATGAATGTTCCATCCAATCTGTATAGATATTCTTGTCAACTTCGATCAAGTGTTATGAACTATCTCTCCATCATAATATGTGGAGATAACTTGTGGGATGAATATCACCGTCTATTGAAATGAAATAAGATTGTGAATATTCGACAGGATGCTGCACTCAGGATATTCCACAGTGAACATTCTGAACAGTCGATCGTCACTACATGAAATAAAACTCAACAGAATATGACACTTTCCGTATAGTAGCCAAACATTCACAGCCAGTTACTATTTGGCACGAACAGGTTATTGTTTCTTCTGAAAGAACTTTACTTCTGATTATTCACTGTTCATACCACTTGCTTGATTAGTGTCACTAGAGGATTGATAATAGCGTCAATTAGTCCGCTTGCCTATTACACAATGTTGATCTCTTGCTATCGTGTTCAGTGTAACTAGAATAATTTGACAATATTGATCAACATGAAATAGTAGAATGATGTGAATTACTTGAAACAATATCACATTTTTACTAAATTATGCAACTCACGTTATCATAATAGAAGGATACCATCCCATTTGGGTGTATTAAAGTCGTCATTGTGGCTCTAACCTCTACAGTAAGAAGAATATTGATACTCATGATTTAAGATTTGAACGATGAGCAAGTTATTGTTTGATGTAACACTGTGGACAGATTTCAGCGGATATTAACTGTGTTGTTTGAAATGCTTTCTTCAGATGGATTGATAATAAATACATTGAAGTAAACGTCATTGAAATGAGACGGACATGAATCCCTTCTAACAAATGTGAAATGCCTAGATTCTGAATTTGGGTTACTACTATCGAAACAATAAATCATCTACTTTACCATCAGGGATCTGATAGTGAGGGATGTAATGACATTCTCGCAATATCCTAAATAATTCAATTTGAAACAATGAAGACTCAGTATGCATGAAATGATCTTGTGCGTTTGTCCACATATTGAACTTGAGAAATAAATTGGTGGTATATATATAAAGATTTCTATTGGTTAACTGATTCTGCCTTCAGTGTCCATTTGTTGTAGATGAGAAACGAATAGCTTTAGATAACGATTTCTCAGTTGGCAACGTCAATGTTTGGGAATGACTATGCGATGAAAGGATGTGTAAATGAATATTATGTGTGTAGCAATGGCTTTGTCACCAATGTAGAACACAATTCATTTATTTTGGAACACAGACTGCTTATCAAGTACCACTTAAACCCGAAATGATAATAAATCTCTGCATTCGTTTACCAACAAGCAGAATGAGACTGTGACTTTAATTATCCATGATCACTTATTTATTGCCTGTCAAATCCAATCATTCACAGTTCATTTCAACTGTTCACAATGTTTCAATGGATGTACTCAATTAGTGAGTGAATTTCACATTCAATTCTACCATCGTTTGCCAGAATAGTAGCACATTCATTCTTTCATTAGTATTTTGGAAGGTTGGATTTGTTTAAAAAGAACAGGCGAAGTATGAGTAATCACAGGCAGTGACGATGTAAGTGTAAAAGTTTCACGCGTGTGATCGAACGACCAATCAGTGTTTACTCACCTGCACCATTTACGTTTATCGAAAAAGTTCTTTTCACTCCTATTAATTTCGCTGAAATAATCAAAATCAAAAGGGATGTTTAAATATCTGAATAATGATCATCTATCTTTTTCAATAAATATACTTTTTAACATGGACTGCCGACTTATACAAGTTGTCGTCTCCATTTACAGGTTTAAATGAACCGAAGTAGTTAAATGCTAAATCATCTCCCATGAGAAAAGTCCAAGGAATATTATCTATTCAACAATATGACGAACGTTTCAATGCAATCAACTAAGAAGAATAGTTCACTTCTTTAAAATTTCTTCTAGAAGCTTCTGACTGAATAATAGACCTTTAATAGGTATCCGACAATACAACAACAAAGTGTTTTTTGGATCCCTTTATTCATGAATTCTTACGTTGGACCGAAATAAATGAATGTCACATTGATGAATTAAGTGTTCTGGTATGAGTAAATCATCTTGTACTAGCGGACCGTTCAAGCACGTTCATTGCTCAGCCGTTTCACGAAGTGCATGGATTTGAAATGCATAATCATACAAATACGATCACAAAAATAGTCTTGAATAATCGAATAGTAACACACAGCAACTCCGAGACATTAAACATTGAAGAATCAAGTAAGTGCTATAAAAGGTCTAGAGGACTTCAAATATAACTTGATAATTCATAGGCTTCAATAATTCAAACCGCCTTCTCTCACAACATAGCTTACTATTGCACAAGTGATCACTTTTATTCACTCAATCTACCATGAAGTATCATGTAGATGAGATATCTTCTGTTTTGTAGTTTTCATAGACTGGAGGGTTGGTAATTTTTACACTTTCGCAATCATATCACATGGTCTATCATTTCTATTCGATGAAATTGTATATTTTCAGGTAGATCTCTGTTTAATTTACCAATTTCACTTTACAGCATTCAACACTTGCTGCGATACACACACGTTCTGTTGCAAGAACAACACAAACACAACAATCACTTTGTATTGGTTACCACTCTTGTAATCATCATTATAAATACTGAATCTTTTATACAAAATAAGTGTGAGAAAAGTGATCAAAACAAAGAATAACTGAATAATAGAAGAACTCACTCTCGTTCAAAATTCTATATTCAGACTTTTTATAGTTTTTTATGTAATTATCAATAATTCCAATTCGGAACTCTTCATATACATATATTTTATCTGTGTTTATTGGATGAAAACATGTCACATTATTGATAAATTTGTAATGAATGAATAAATAATTTTAAATAATAAAACTGAACTGTATTTGGTTTGCTATAAAGAGTCAAACCATGTTGAACAATGAAAAAAATTTATTGAAAGAAGCTTTGCATGTTACAAGGAGCAAAAAACTGATTCACTGAAGAAAATGGAATCAACTTTAATTCATTAACTGAAATTGGATCAACAAAACTCATTAATAATTTGAATGCAAAAAAAATTATGACTTACGATATTCGAAAAATTCAATTTCTTGTACGTGACTACCGTAATAACTAAACGAGAATTGAGGACGAGCCAACTGAAATGTTGAAAACATATGGAAAAATATTTTTATTATAAAGTGTATTCAACTCACGTATCTGCCATCTACCTTATTATTAAAATGTTCACTCGGAACTGGTTGAGATTGGTTACGTTGAATCCTCATTGAATAATTATAATGAATAGACTGGAATATGTGTATTAGAATGTATCTGATTACTTACATATCTATATGTGTCATTTTCAATAATGACATTCTCATAGTTGCGCAAATCAGGGTTGTTGCAGATGTCGTTGCAGTTGGAACGTTTGTAGGGCCAAACGAAAATTAGATAAATTAGTATCCATAGACTAGGCGAAAAGTTATATCTAAAATGATCCAGATGAACAAATCAACGGTATCTCATTGAATTCAATTTCAATTTCAGTTCGCATGTTCATTCAACACTTACCTCATCTTATCGTGTCAAGTTATAATTCAAATTTTTATAGAAATTGTCGGGTTTATATAGACTTTTGAAGTGTAAAGTTGTTCTCTTCTGATTTGATGATTCAAAATAACCATTAGAAAGATCGAATTTAATAAAATCAGATGTTCATTATAAACCAATCATGGAGGTATATGACATTATCGTTAACCAATATTCTTCTGGCTGTTGAGATCATGAGCTGAAATTTATTCACTGTTGATTGAAATTCCCGACCCCTGTGGATAAAACTTCTCTTCGATGTGATAGACAATATTCTGAAATAGGTGATTGGTTAAATTGTAGTTCAAAATGTGTTCTCATATGTTTACGAACAAACAGTTTGTTGTCTGTAATAATTTATTGATTATTCGTCAAGGATGAGTTGTTTTGATTTGATTGGGTAAAATCAAAGTACAATTTGCTTTGATTGGATGGTAACAAATACTCTTTTACACATGGATTTTGTTACAATAAGCACATTTTGTTAAACGATTTCACCGTCGTTTTTTTTAAAACAAGTTTTAACTTCTGAAGAATGTCACATCCATTCTATTTGTATACCACATTATAACACTGACTTTCAATATATGTCCAGATCAAAAAGGATAATGATTTTCCTATTGAGTACATTGAAATAGAATCAATTGTGCTCAATTTCATAGATTGAGTTCTCAAATCATTGTAATCAGAGGAAAATAATGCATTCCGCCGAAAGTGAACTGTTGAAAATGGAGAGAACGATTTCTTATACCAGACACATTCGAAACTATAAGATTGATCATTGTATCTGAAAACTAAAATGTTTGTCAATACTCAAATACAAGACTGATTTTAATCTGTGAATTTCAATGATGTATTCCCTCACATCAGTTGAACTTGTATTTTATATCATCTGTGTTCAAATATAAGAGAAAATCACACTGATAAGATAAAGTCAAGTGGATACTTAACTTACACTAAACATGGAATACTGACGAACGAATAAAATTCTACACATTCATAACTGAATAATAATTTTGATGAAATAAGTCAGGAATGTTTGTTTTTGCGTGATATTTAAAAATAGTTTTCCTCCTGACACAGTAGAGGTGTATTATTTTACTTTAGACAGATATGAACACTAATCAAAATGTTGTTACCTTGACAATCAATGTTTAATGTCGAATAATAAGACTGTTTGGGTAATTTCGTGAATTCATCAACATCAAAATTGTCTTCAGTGGTGCCTTGTCAATTCAATGCCGTTGACCAATATCTAATTATGAGAGGAAAAGTTATCTGTGCATGTGATAGTGTAGATCAGTTAACCTGTTTGAGAAGAGTATGATTCAGATCATGAAGTATTCAGTGGGGTGTTTCCCTATAGCGTCATGTGTATTTCGCAAATTGTTTTTAGAGAATGTGTTGTAAGTATGAAGTTTGCTACACAACATAAAGAGGCTACATGCTTTTAAGGTTATGCGACATCAGTTCTTACATTTTGCCAGGTCTTGTATATAACCTCTTATTCTTCATTCTTCTTCATAATCCTTTGACAAGCTTTAAAAAGAAAGCTTTTGCTGTATTGTGAGAAATACAGAAAGCAGTTGACAAGGTGTGTGGTGAACCTCTTGAAGTCATCAGTAAAATGACAATGAATAGACTTCTAATGTCTAGCCCAAACCTGAAATGTGTTTTCCTAATAATAATCATCAATTTCGTTTACTATTTTTCTTCGTATATCTTCCGGTAGAAGCTGTAGAAATGTATTTATAGATGATGCTATAGTGGTCTGTGCTGAAACAGAGTAGTTTTACAAAATTATCAAAAGATAATGAAACTCATCGAAGAGGGTCTCAATGGAAAAGTAAGAAACGGACTAGAATTGACTTTGCGGATTCGGTTTCTCCAGGTAGGGAAAATAATTCGATCTATTCTCCATCCTCAAGAGCCAGACGAATATGTAGTGATGACACAATTGGTGATGATGAACTTAATATAATTAAACAAACTCTACGGGAAACAAGCTACAGAACCATCTCAATTATTGATTGTTATCTGAAATCAGGATATCAAGTTGAATAAAACCTCATACATAGTAGGAATAATTGACGACAGAATATTGAATTCAAAGGAAACATGGCATGGTGGATTTCAGAGAACGGACTATTCATATCCTTAAAAAGCATTCTATTCTGCCGTATTCCGAGTTGTTTTCTGTAGCAGGAATCTAAGCAGGACAGTGCGAAACAGAGACAGTGGAGTGCGATAACAGTTTCCTAATAGCTACGAACGATTATTCGTTCCGTTGCTTCTTTGTATTCCGTCTTCTCTATTTCGATTAAATGGACAATCATCTTTTACATCTAAAAATCATTAGACATCACGAAGAGAGTGACAGTATATTGAAAGTATATTTGAAGTGATTGAGAAGATAACTCTGATCAAAAGGAACACACTGTCCTCGATGAACAGTAAATGTTAAAACAGAAAGGAACTTGTGCTACTTTCATCCTCTCAAAACTGTTCAAACTGAATTCACTTAGTATTGTTTGTGAACATCAACTCTGAGATGCAGGTACATCCAGCTGACGAGTCCCAAATAGGACGAAACGCGCGTCCTGGATTCCACTGCTAGCCACTATCCATCTCTGCTTACCATGCTTGTGAATTAAGGTATATCGAGGCAATACGCACAGTATGCACATATGCCAATTAGAGACTGACCAGTTGAGTCCTAAACACATCGATAGGAAGATCCAAACAAACAATACTAAGTGAATTCAGTTATAAGAATAGTTTCTATGATGTGATAGTGTGATCTGTCTGTTAACCTTGACCGTTGTTTTTGTTGTTGTTCAAATATCATTCATTTTAATTCCGCGTTGTTTATCATCAGATTTCATCTATGATATGACATTTTCTTTTGTATAATGAGCATGATATGAGTTGTTATTATAATGAGGGATGCCGCTCTCTACTAATACATTCATATGACTGATCATCTTTGACACATACAAAAGAAAAATGAATGAAATTTTCATTTTACATATGACTAATACTTTTCCGAAGCCAAAATGTACTGATAGTTTGTTCATCAATTATTAGAAGGTCTTGATTCAGTTATGAGTAAACACTAAAATCATCTATTATCTTATTTCAAATGAGTCTAGTAATACTGGTCGAATAGAATTATCTTGATTTCAAGTCTTCAATTGAAATCTGTGAAGATAATTGAGTATACGGCTTGCTTAAGGCTGCATTCCACCTCCAACATATAACATATAATCAGCACATGTTGCTTTCAAGATAATGTCAAATAGTGCAAGCTAGATAATTTATGAAAGTATAGAAACCAACATACAACCGATTTCGATTATGGTTAACTTTGCTTATGCACCCACTATGGAAGAGGGTGCAATTCAGTAAGTCCGTTCTGTATTATGAATTGTACAATTTGTTCTTTTTATTGCTTTTATCTGTCCCTTTTTTTTACACTTGCTTCTTCTTCTGCTGCAAACATGCCTTCCGAAAATACTGTGTCACGTTTACAACAAACCCTGTCTGTGAAAGCTCTTATTCTTCTTTTTCACACGTTTTATGGTCACCATCACACAGCTTCGGTTTACTGAACTCAAAAATTATTTTTTGGTTAACTTCATTAACGTAAAATATAGGCGAGTACCGCCATACATTTATTCATCTACCGAAAACTCAACCAAACTAAATGAAGCCTTCAAAACTCGTCAGTGTCCCATTTTCGTTATATCCTAGTGGAGATCAAATTATAATCAAATTCTGTGAAATATTGATGGGCGAATATTATTTATATTCTTATTGCATAATGTCTCAACAACTAGACTGTAGACGTTCGTGTCCTTCTTGTCGGAAGCTTCATTTTCACTTACAAATATCATGAGATTTACGATTCCTAAGTTATTTACACCCTCCTAATTGCAGTAGTCCACAATCATGACAACTTTACGGCTTGATCATGTACAAATGTGATTTACAGTTATACGTTGTGATGTGGTCTGTTTGGCTTGCATATAAATCAGATATACTTGAAGTGGATGATTTGCATATCGGAAGCTGTTGTGTTGTTCAAAACCTACTCCAGTCTTTCTCACAGATGAACACGTTTAAATTCAGATGTTCGAACAGTCAATTGCTTACAGATCCTTAAACAGAAATCCATTTTATGTTATTCTGATTCGGTCGAATCGCGATTTTCCTCACAAGAACTAATTCAATTCGATATATCTGACTACAATGGTAAAATCCAATCAACACTGAGGACTAAATCGACATAGAGTTGATTGATGCCTAATAATCTATTAGTGGACTCACATAATCAATCCGTTGCTCAAGAATCCTAGAGACATGGCAACCACAAATTTCAATAAAATCTATCTTTTGAAAAAATTAGCATTAGACTGGCATCAAATTGCGTAATAATTACTGATGGATATCAGGCAGAAATTATTTCACATGCTAAAAACTAAAGTCAAACATCAAGTAGAATAGAATAATAAACTGCGAAATAAGTTACGTCATACGGGATATTAATCGGTAGGATGAATGAAGAATAAATGTATAGCAGTTCACTATTGGAAGTGGTTACATAAGTGTGGAAAATATGAACATGACCTTGACAATGAATGTGAGTTAGCTGATGATGATTATGATTTGGAAGATGGTGGTCATGATTTCGAGG